CACTCAATGTGTAAATGGAAAAGTGAGTTTTGAGTTCCCTTGGATCACACCCTCCTCTCAATTGATTACTTTTGGTGTTAAAGTCAGCTGAGAATCTCATTCGACTCTGTTCATGTTTACACGTTGCTCAGAATCCCCTCCTCCTCTGGGCCTATGCCGCTGCTATGCCTTTGCGTGTATTAAGTGGCGCCCTACTGCCCACCTACTCACTCACCTACTCACTTAGAAACCCATTCACTCACCTCATCATTTAGGATTCCACTCCCCCTCCTCGTCTTCTCTGCACCTATGCCTCTATACCAGGGGTCGGCAACGCGAGGCTCCAGAGCCTCATGCGGCTCTTTAATCACTGCTTTGTGACGTCATTTATTAAGGACCACCGTCTCAAATTCACATGCATTGTGGCTCTTGAAAAATGGATTATATTTTTACCTAATTCGATTTACTAAAAATATTGTTACTTTTTGCCGATGCCATGGGAGTCCAGTTTACCATGGAACTCTAAAACTACGAACATTTTTTTTTTATTTATCAGCTAAGGCCCACAGAGCTATATAGTTCTTTTTTCAGAAGCGACCTGGCCACAAATGATAACCCAACGAAGTGGGCTTAACACGTGGAAATGTAAAGCAGCCAAATACTCTACACGCGTGATGTTGATTCTAAATGTAGAGGGGAAAACCGGAGGACCCGGAGAAAAATCCACGTGACCACGGGGAGAATATGCAAACTCGAAATATACAGCAGCAGGCGTCCGGGGCGGGATCGAACCCACGACCTCCTGTACACCATGCGAGGTAGTTAACGTCTCGCCACCGTGACGCCCCACAAATATTCTCTCCCTTGGCTCCCACTCTGTTAATTATTACGAGCCATCGTCCATCGTCCCTTCTCGCAATGACATGTCCTGCTCAGGCCCCGCTAAGTTTTATTAGCCGTTCGTGACGATGTCATTAACCTGCGTACATTCTGCAATCTCGAATCCACGTGGTCAGTGTTCGTGTCTCGGTGCGATTCCCGAGGAAGCCTCTCTTTTCCACGCATCTTTGCGCGGTCAAATCACGGCGGTTGTGATATTGCACGCCCGACACTGTCGCATCTCAGTGTTCGTTAAAACTAACAAAAACGGGGTGGTGGAGGGGGTGTTGGGGCTTTATTTGTTTTCTCGCCAGTAAGCATGCAGATTGCAGGGCGTTTCAAACATTGAGGCAGTAAAAACCGTTACCATTTAAAGCTCGTGAATTATGGCTTTCGTCGTAAAAGGAGAACCGCCTCGACTCTCGCACGTAGCGCGGCTGAGCCGTTCGGCCGTTTCTGGGTGAAGTTTCTGCACCGGATTGATTCGCCGCCTGGCCCAGGTTTGACGCGGTGAGTCCAGGAACTGGCATCCGTGTTCGGGTGGCAATAATTGATGGTACTGTACCGTACTGAGATCTGGTGGCATTGTTGTCGGGAGAGGAACACTCCATTAAAGTGGAGAAATCACGACGAAATGTCACCATCGGCCCGGCGACCGAACATCGATCAAAATCATCTCCCCTTCCATAAGGCAACGGCTCAACGATCCACAGCGCAATGTTGACAGACCGAGCATGCCTGAGGAATACGTCTGAGTTTGATCTGGAGTGAGAGTTAAGCATGCACGGTTGAATTTAAGATGTGTTATTTTTCTTTCAACACCATGTATAATTCCAACTGTGACATCCGCTTGAGTACACGGCTGTGTCCGTTGTCCAAACTTATCCTCCAGCACACGCGACCTGCCGATTTGACCAAGTTATGTCGCACCTACTATGACTGCCGGGTCGACAGAGGAAGAGTTGTGGGCTGTACTTGTTCACAAGTGTGGCTATCGCCTGATGGAGCTGGTCGTTGTAATCACCACCACAATGTCGTACTCAAATTGTAAATGTTGTGGGTTTACCCTCCAACACGCCGGTTGTGCTTAAGTAGTAACTAATTAGCACGTTTTGTTAACGTGACTAACCTTACCAATTGGCCGTGTCGGCTGGTGGCGGGTTTCACGACCCATTTTTATTTGCGCGGTCCAACCCAAAATACCTGTTTTACGGGGAATATTGGTCGTGAAAGACTTACTACGTGTCCAACTCGCGGGAGTAGGTTGGTTCAAGTGCGAGAGGCCGCCGGATTCCCGTTAGGCACGAGTTCCAAGCCCCACCGGGGTAAGCCGTCTGTGAGGACGACGAGTACATCTGACACAGACTCAGCTTTCCCATACGTCCCTGCGCAGTTGTAAACGCTTAGCTATTTATGACCACTGGCTATGACACGAGAGCACGCTCGAAAGGCGCAGTGACGTGGCCCAGCGGCAGCGCGTTCGCCCACTTTGGTTGCAGAGGTTCGCGGTTTGAGTCCGGCAGGCCGCCCTGGTTATTACTGCCGGCGTAGTAGCCATGAAATATGAGCTGTACGCTTCACAGTGAACATTTAATGATCCCCTGATGTCATTCGAAACGAGTAGGCCATTGTGTGTCGGCATCATGGTTCAAATTTTCAAAACTATTACAAGTACCCGCACAACTACTCACTTGGGATTACGCGCAGCGGCATCATAGCCACCTCCTGTGAAACTACTGCAGACTGTGTCTGTGAAACACCAGTGCCTCAGCTTAGCGATGATAGCCTTGCACTCTAAGAATGAAAGCACCAAAAGAAAATGTACTGAATCATCATAATCTCAACCTATGTTATTAAATATAAAAAGTGTATTTTTGAATGTCTTGCTAGCATGCGCCGCCCAGCACGCAATCGTGACCGGCTGGAGGCCATGCAACGCACTCCCATCTATCTCTCCGTGTCTCCCTTCATGTGTACCTCTCTCCAATGTCTCTCGCCACGTCTCTCGCCATGTCTTTTTTAATCTCTCACCATGTGCCACTTTCAGTGTCTGTCTTTGTGTCTGTGCCACTCTCTCTCTTCACGAAGGGTCCAGATATCGCAGAGCTGCAACCTCTGCTATCCCGTCAAGCGACCCTGGCAATCCACACACCTTAAGGGCCCCTTTATCTTGCCCATCGAATGGCAGTCCAAAACCAATATTTCTCATTCTCGGAAGTAACGTTTATCCAAATTTTGCGAAAATTAAATTGAATACGATGGGATTTATTTGGTGCAGTTATTGGTAATAGGAGATGAAAAGATCAACACCCCCCCCCCCATCAACACGAAAACCCGCTTGAGTCGTGGGGCCTGCCCGGCACCCTGCCAAGGGTCTCGGCGATGCCGGCTCGGCCTCTCCGCTGACCTCTGAACCGCCCAGCCTCCCTCCACAAGGACCAGGTTTGGTGTCGCCTCTCGGTGTGCACAAGCCATCCGTGATAGTGAAGGTTGAAGTTCCACTGTACAGCCTCAGCTATAAAAACCGTCCACAACATGAGAAACACGCGTACTCTGTGGGTGTTCCTCCTCCTCACCCCCGCCCCCCCCCCCCCACAAAAAAATGACATGCAAATTATGTGGACATGCTAGTCACTGATATATTTAGCCGAACCTTTTACAAATATAATTGAGTGCATACGTACCGACTGGCGGTGCCAGTGACGGGCGTAAATCGTCACGTGGTGCCCTAGACGGGCTACAAAGTTGAACTCTGGTACACATCGCCACGTTTATTTCTCGCGATGTGGTTTTCGGGTCGTACCACCGCATGTTGTCTGATCAGCCCAACGACGCACGCGTGGGCGAGGGCTACGCGTGTTTGGCGTTGCTCCGTTTCCAAAATACCCTGAAATAAAAAGAATAAAATACAAGCGAGGCGTTTTCACTAAAAGCTTCAAATTATGTTTTTACTGGTATATAGGAACCTTCTGGTTCCACCAGCCCACAGGGGATTATTGTGTCCGTCCGTCCGTCGTGCATCCAAAAATGGGAGGGGTGGGGCTGGGTGGGGAGGGGAGGGTGGGGAGGGGCTGGGTGGGGGAGGGAGGGGCTGGGTGGGGAGGGGCTGGGTGGGGAGGGTGGGGCTGGGTGGGTAAGGTGGCCACGGCACACACGAGGGGGTGGGTGGCCACCAACCACGACATTTTTCCCTCCACGTGGAGAATCAGCAACCCCCCGATGGGTATTGTATTCTCTTTTTTTAGGAACAGCTTTTTTTTTCTCTCCACCATCCCAGGTCCCCACTCGGTCCCCACCCTTCACGCCGGCTTGTGCCCGCCCTCACAGCCGGGCATATTTGCGGAATACACCACGTGGTGCCGCTGTTGACCCTGGCCATTGACCGAGCAACCCAACGTTCCTACCAGCTCCCTCCGCAGGAATGTGTTTACACTTTTCCTATTGGAGAATCGTTATTATCAGACCCTGAGTTCAAATTTATTTTATTAGTTCCTAGGCTATTATTAATCGTCATTATTTGCATTATAATCATGACTGCCTATGACCAAATCATGCAGAATATGCGCGCACTCATATCTCGTGAAGCTAAGTTGAGTTGAGCCTGGATAGTGCTCGGATGGGCGATCACTATGCACACATAACAGGTGTCATATGCTGCTGCAGGACTACCACGTGGACAGCAGAGAAAACAACACTCCATTGTTGTACTGTACTGTTACCCGAACGTCTCACGACTAGCACTGACCAGGGTGGTGAATTTCGATTTAAAGCTTTCGTGACTGCAAGGATTCATCTTCTTTGGTTCTTTCGGTAAAGTCTTTCTACGTGACTTTACCGAAAGAACCAAAGAACAGGGTGGTGAAGTATGGCGAAATAACCCACACAGTGTTGCGAGGCCCTCATCCAGAAGTGGATTGACAAATGGGCTGTATGTCAGCGTGATCGTCAATAGCAAAACTGTTGTTAAAACAATATGCCTGGCCAAAACCAATTCGTATTTACAGTCATGAGTATCGTCATTAGAGGGTCGGTTCAGACATCACTCGCCACTGGTGTTAGCCGTGGCTGGGAGTCAAACTCATGGGCCTGGTTCACAACGTGGTGCGCTGACCACTGTACCACTGCTTCGTCCAAGTTAACCGCCTGCATTATTACTTTTTATTTCATCAGTCACATCAAAAGGGCAAATATAATATACCTATCATCATAGAACCCATTAAGCCTGGCGTCATTGCACAGAACAGCCCCGGGAAGATGACACTACAGGACCAGTCCGGAAGACTGTGCAGAGAGACTTGAGAGACAGAAAAATGTACGTGTCCATCAGGAAACGAAGATTAAACAGAAACACCGTTGACGAATGAGCATTCATTTAACAAGCCTGACTGCCGATGAGACCCAACAAGTCAAAACCGGCCCAGAGTTTGGATGCTTTCGGGATGCGTGGATAAACACGCATCCCGAAAGCTAATAGACTCATGGGCCGTTTATGTATTGATATGTGGTGACGCAACACAGGCCTGCTTGTGTGTGTGTGTATATATAATAATTTTAGCAGAGTAAATAAAACCTGCGCTTCGCTTCGTTAAACCAGTCCTGTTGATTGCATTTAACTCCTTTTCTTCTTGCGGCCTGGTGTGAAATGGTAAGCCAGCCATTTCCGAGGTCACTTCTGGGTTCAAGGTGCAGAGAAACGCATGCACTTTGGTCGACCTTAAATCACCGGCAGAGTCGCCCCCGTGCGGGGCAGGGTTTTTATTGGGCGACTCGAGCCAGTTGCTCTTCGATACCCGCGAGCGATCGGAGGGGTTGGGCAGAGAACGCGCAGCTGGGAGACGTGACGCGGGTTATCGGAAGGGCACACTCACACACTTCACACACATTTCACACACACACACGCGCACGCGGCTTACTCGCAGAGTCATCGGAACATGGAGCCATCTCTGCCCGAATAGTACGACCGCTGCGTGAAGCCACAGTTCGCGTTACATCGCTCTCATTATTGTGGGAAAAGATATATATTTTTTAAATTGTGTTTTTCGCGTTGGAGTAGCCGGTGGTATTGTTGTCGGAGAAGACAGCCCGGTGTTTTGGAAATTCAAGCACGCAAGACTCGGCAAAGACAGGTGAGGGCTGTCTTTCGTTGTCGTTGTTGTTGTTTACACCGTGACTGCAACTGCTGCTGCGACGTCTCGACTTCTCCTGCTGACGGTTTAAGAGCGACTGGATATTTCAGTGCGCAACGCTTGTGGAAGGGCGCATGGGGTGGGTGGTGGTGGTGGTGGTGATGGTGGGAAGAAACAAACCACGCTCCATTGGCGATTGGTGGCAAGGTGCTCAAATGGTTCTGACAATCTTCTTTGGTTCTTTCGGTAAAGTCACGCGATAAAATTCTCACGACGTTACGGCCACAACGCAAGCGGCCGTCTTCTGACAAGCCAGCCAGCCAGCCTCCGCCAGCCTTCTTGCGCCCGTCGGCGGTAAACGTGAACGCAGCGGCAACTCGCCACTTCTGGCGGTGGCTGCTCACTCGGGTGTAGCCCAGGGGCGGGATGCGGTCCCGTGAGTTCTCTCGGGCAAGGAACCCGCGTGATGGCCGGAGCTAAAAAAAAAACCCCCGCCAGCCGTCCGAGAGTTTGGTATTATTTGTAAAATTCGCCGGGTGGTGATGACTGTGGTGGTGGTGGCGGTGGCACGGTCAATGCGTGTCCTCCCCCACGCACGTTTTGTATACGTGTTGATGTTTCAACACGTGGGAGGAGGCCCTCGCGACCGATATAATCCACAGCAGAGGTTTGTTGGGTGAGAGATCGCGTGAAAATAAAAACGTCGTTGAAACCCGCCACCGCCCGACACTGCCCCATTAGTAAGATTTGTCACGTTACGAACGGAACGTGCCAATTCCACAACATTTACAATTCGAGTACGACGTTTCGCCGGTAATAACAACTAGCATCAGGCGACAACTACGTGCACGTGTGTGTGTGTTGAACTTCTTTCGCACCGTACGTATCCCGACCGCGTGCACGTGTGTGTTGAACTTCTTTCGCGCCGTACGTATCCCGACCGCGCTTTTGAGGTTGGTGCGTACCGAAGGCAGCGTGGCAGGGCCTTGCGGCGTCGACACGAGAGCTCGGCTAGACGCGGGGGGGGGGGAGGGCGAGAGAACACGACCGGTGGTGATTTATTGATGGCGGAGATGCGACCGAGGGGTTTCGGGAGAGGTTTTGAATGAAAGAGCGTTCGCCCTGATCATTACGTTTTGTGCCCACGTGACCACGATATTTACCATACCGTTTGATTGACAAAAGATGACCCGTGATAATGGATGGCATCATCAGCTGTCATAAATATTGTCAAATCGCTGCACGTTTTTTTGTTGTTGTTAAAAGCATTATTACCCATTAAACTAAAAGTCAAGCATGGGCCATTGCGGTAGTTAATTTCATTGTCTTGTACCCGCTGACCTACCACGTGTGCTCTAAGCGTTATGGTTTTAACATGACAATGATTATAACGCTTATGTTGGGTGAACTGCCGTTGAATAACTTTATAATGTTAGGTCCCTACATGTAGAGCCCGTTTTGTAAATTCACTGCTGGGTGGGGACTTTTCCACTCCTCGCGACCCTGAGGGGCCTTTGTCCAAACTTCACCACGCCTATGAGTAATCGTTCCGCGTTCTGAACAGCGATGGATTTTACTGCATTTCCCTCTGCTGCCCGCAACGCCTATTACACCTACCCATTACACCTACTAATTATACCTACTTATTACACCTACCGTTTCCGCACGGTGGTTACACACCCAAGCACTGTCCAGGTCCAAGGCTGCTGAGCCTCCTAGTTCTGATGATACAGGCATGCTGGGTGATGTGGCCTATGTTGGTCATCTTTATTCGCGCTGGAAGTTTTAAGTTTTATTTAATTTTATTTAACTCGGTTGCAAGAACTCAAGGAGACCAGAATACATTGCATGGAAGTATGGCAAAGCACAACAACAATGCGGATTCAATCTTGACTTAAAACTTTCGTGACTGCAGGAATTCATATTCTTGGGTCTTTCGGTAAAGTCACGTAGATAGGTTCAAAGAAAATTACAAAAAACCACGACGTTTCGATCGCAACACAAGCGGTCGTGTTCAGGAAAACGACCGCTTGTGTTGCGATCGAAACGTCGTAGTTTTATTTTTATTTTCTTTGAACCTATCTACGTGACTTTACCGACAGACCCAATAAAAAGGCGGATTCAGTGTCACACTTTTGGGAAGCTGGCATTGTGACAATCGCCATATCGTGAGATATTATTAGGAGTGGTGCACAAGCGTTATTAACAAACAAACAAATATTTTGATTTAAAGTTTTCGTGACTGCAGTAATTCATATTCTTAGCTCTTTCGGTAAAGTCACGTTGAAGGGAAACAATAAAATATATAAAACAATTAAAATTCTCACGACGTTTCGACCATAACACAAACGGTCATCATCAGGTGTCACCTTCAACGTGACTTTACCGAAAGAGCTAAGAATATAAACAAAAAAATACTCAACACATTCATCGATAACACCGTGACCTTAAGAGTAAAAATATTGTGACCTTCCGCAATGGTCCTTCATATCGCATGAAGGGCACATTTATGTCCTATGAAGAAGGGCCATCTCTGCCCGAAACGTCAACCGGTACGTTTCCTTATTAAGGCCACAGTCTTATTGACGAATGTATTGATGTTCATTTACATGACTGTGTGAAAATTGATATGTCGTTTCGGGACAATGATATCACAAGCAACCCTAGCGAGCTTGAGGCGTTGGTCACATGACACGCGGAGTTAAGTAACTGGTTTCTACAGCAGTGCCCGTTAGCGGTCCTGATCCGCAGGTGGGAATTCCAGATTTCAATTGTGGGGGGCCCACGGGGGGCCCACCCTCTTACTACTTGTAGAACACCGTAATGGAGCTGAAATCCCGCAAAGTCGAATTAATTTGACCTACCCTGGAGGAATCATGAGTGACGTATAGCTCCTCTTTTGTTAGTGTTTCGAACTTGCGACATTCCAAATGAACTGGGTTAATAAAACGGCCAATAAGAATGAAAAGGCAGCCAAGGAATGGAACGCGTCTGAGAATAACCGCCCAACCGAGGAGATGGAGCGACGAAAGCCAATTCACGATGCAGGTGCCGGGTGGATCGTTAACATCGGCAGGTTCGTGAGAGGTTTCGGGAGGCCTTCGTCCATCCAAGGACTTTACCGTACTTACAAGTTGCCCGTCTGCGCTTCCAGCGTTCGCCAACCCACACTGACCAGCGTCACATGACGCCTCGTCTAGCAGTGGAGTGCCACAGGCCCTGTGCACGTGCAGACACCGTGACATTATAATTAAGCACAATTGCAATTCGCGCTTTATTTAATCGGAGGAGGAGGGTGGGGGTGGCGAGCGAGCGAGCGACGGACATACGAGATATGACACCCTTCTTGGGCTATCTTCGAGTACAATATTAAGTTACGCCGACAGGTATTATTTGTTTTATTTAACCTACTGTATGTACACGTTAAGCTTTAATAGGCCCCCATATATACCGTATATATATTTTAAAGTATATCAGAATTTGCTGCAATGTATTCTGCGTCGTATATTTGGGACCAGCGTAAAAATGAAAACAAAAATCGCTTAACGACTAATTTTCTTGTATTTTTTTTTTTGCCGATGTCTCGCCTTGCCGTCTGAATTACTTCGTGGTACTGTTACCGTTCGGCTCCACACGGGGCCAGTCGTGTGCCCCCCGCCTGGTGCAGGGAATTAATGAATTAGTGCCGCTTTCAGTCATCACTCGCAACTGATCAATCCGCCTCGGCCAGAAATCAGTCTCGTCGATTAGCTACGTACGGTGCCGACACAAGTTCAACACACATACTAGGTGTATAACAGCCGCATCGTGTGTTCACCGCTGGGCCCTACCTTGACGATCAAAAAACAGGTCCCTGCAGGGTGGGCTGGTAGGAACATTGGAATTTTTCACTTCGTTAAAGTAAAGTATTGAAAGGGGACGGACGGACACATTAATCTATTGCAGGCTGGTACACTCAGTTTACAACTTCGTTCCTACCAGTATAAAGGCGCAGCCCTCCAATTTCTTGCTCACGCCGCGGCTGGCGGAGGGGCCTGAGTTCATCCAAACAAACACCCTCTCGACTGTGCCATTCTGGCCAAAGCTAAATTCAGTTTTTCATTTATTAGGTTTAACCCTGTGAGTCATGCGGCTCTTGACTCGGGTGCAACCGCAACAAAACAAAAACATGAACAAAGAAACATCTTGAAGTCACTAACACGCAGCAGAAAAATCCTGGGAAAAAAACCAGCAAAGTCTTCCAGTAAAAAAAACCCACCGTATTTCAATATTGCACGGAACGGGTCACTGTGGAATGTATTGGTGCCAACACAACGTGCAACAAACGGTGTTCTTAAAGAATAACCGAGGGGAGGAAAAACAACTAAAAAGACTTTGTCACCTGCTGTATACGTGCCGCGTGTGTATGTGTACAGTAGCTCTGCGTGCGATGTGGCACGAGAACTATTTTTGGTCATAGACGATTCTTTTTTAAATGTATCTTCGCATACCTGTCAAACACCTTATCAGTGCCCTACCTTATTACAGACCAATTCAGACCTTATTGGTCACCCCGTGCCCTTATAAATCTCAACGTTCATCCTACAAAGTCCCATCACAAGGGAGCAAAACAAACAAATAGACACTACTAATACATTCACCACAACTACACTCACCACTACGTACACACACCACTACTACACTCACCACTACGTACCTGTCAACCCCTTATTACAGACCAATTCAGACCTTATTGATCACCCCGTGCCCTTATAAATCTCAACGTTCATCCTACAAAGTCCCATCACAAGGGAGAAACACAAACAAATAGACACCACTAATACATTCACCACAACTACACTCACCACTACCTACACACACCACTACTACACTCACCACTACGTACCTGTCAACCCCTTATTACAGACCAATTCAGACCTTATTGGTCACCCCGTGCCCTTATAAATCTCAACGTTCATCCTACAAAGTCCCATCACAAGGGAGAAACACAAACAAAAATA